AGACATGAAATACCATGTCTCCTTCCTTTTTTAACACGAGAATGTCACCGATGCAAAGGGAGTGTGCTTGGGCGAAGGCTTCCCAACCATCGGTGAGTCTTCTTCCTTCTTGTATAACTTCCCAAGTTTGGTGTGAAGCGTCCGATCGTAGTGTCCATTTTCCTTGGTTCGGCGTGCCTTCTATGTGTTTTGCGTAGAAGGCAGGTGGTATTGTCTACAAGTCAACAAAAGAGAAGATTAGCAAAGGAAATAAACAGAGGAGAAATAGAGAGCGTGTGTATACCACACCACTGTAGAAACCAGGAATCAGAGGCTTCAAGAAGTGAGGTTTATGCTGATTCGCCATCTGCAAACAAGAAACGAATTGGAAACATTTTAATTCTAAGTCGTCTGGGTCGTCCACCTGGAAGACTTATAATTAAGTCGTCTGGAAAGTCTTCCACCTGGAAGACTTTCCAGACGACTTAATTATAAGTCTACCAAGACTTCCAGTAAAACATTTGAAAGCTGATTTGTGGTCTAGTTAGGTTGGATGTTGTTCTCCTCTCATTCGTCTGGTCAGCTTTTAAATGTTCTACTGAATGTCTTGGTAGACTTATAATTAAGTCGTCTGGAAAGTCTTCCAGGTGGACGACCCTAAAATGACCATAAATGAGAGGAAAACAACATCCAACTTAACTAAACAACAAGTCGATTGAAATCCCCAATTTTTGAAACCTTAATTTGAAACCAAAATTACCCCAAATCGTTGAAAACACAAAACCAAACGGTATAAGTAAAGGAAAACAACATCCATCCTAATAAAAACCCATAAATCTGCAAGAGAAGCCTTCGATTTACCTTGGTCTTGTATCGGATCGAAATCGCCTCGAAATCACCTTTGAGAAAAACGGCGTTAGATTTTTCTGAGTTTCGCGAAAAAGTGAGTAAAAATAAAACATCTTATATATGTCCGGTAAAAAATACAGTTAGGTTTAAAAGTAATTTGGTAAAATCCGGTTTGGACGACTTATTATTAAGTCGTCTGTTGATACTATACATCTGACTAAGTCGTGTGCCTTATTAAATATATTTACCAGACGACTTAATTATAAGTCGTCCAGACCCTAAACCCTAAACCTTGAACTAAATTGACTAAATTAACTACTAACCATGTTATAAAATCAAATTATACTTAAATAGTGTTTACTATACACAAAAATAAACACACTTAGGTAAATTTTAAAATTTTCAAAAAAACATTTATGCTTTCGAATTTCTAACCCTAAAAAACACATACAATACTACAACATATGTTGGTGAAACCTAAACTAAAGAATATCATCACTCACTACTTTCACTCATCTATGCTGAAAACAACTGACTTTTTTTATATCTTAATTTATATTTAAGACCTATGTTAATTACATAATCCCAAATTTTCATTTATCAAGATATTTATTACATAATTTTTAAATTATTTTTAAGAAAAACTGTCCCAGACGACTTGCGAGGGCTAGAAACGTAAAAAAAAAACTCTTTTTGTGTTTGTTCACAAGGGGTTGGTTGTAATTTAAACAGCCTTTTAAGTTACTTTTGCATTTGATTCAAGTTTGGGTTTACTTTTGCATTTCAAATTAAGTTTTGAGTCATATTTGACAATTTTCCCTTAAAATAATATTAAAAAATAAATTCTATTTTTAAAATAAAATATATTAAAGATATTGTTAAAATGTAATCTGAAAAAGTAGTTAAGAGTATCTTTTTGATTTCTTATTATGAATATATTTAAATACTATATTAATATTATGTGTATCTAATAATAACTGAGTTCGTTATATGTAAAATAACAAAAATTTCTTTTTTAAAAAACATAAAATTATATAAATGTAATCTTTTGAGGTAGACTACTTGCAAGTAGATAAAAAAATGTTTCTATTTTAATAGTATTGATTTTTTTTTAAAAAACCATAAAAATGAGAAAAAATATTTTCTAATGGTACATCTTTTTGAAAGAAAAATGAGTTTATAAACAGTAATTCTTCAAATTTTAAAAATACTATTCACAAACTCATTTTAGTGTTACACCTTTTTAATTATAAATTAGTTCTTAAACTTTATATAATTTTGTTTTATATCTAAAAAGATTCAATTTTATGTTTTATACTTTACAGAAATTATTAATATTTAGTAATACAATTATAAATTTATACAAATTATTCTATTTCTTTTAGAAACTAAACTTATATGTATATAATGAAGATTTAATTTAAAATTCTATTTGGATAAATCTGTACGTTTTATAAAATAATTAGTATTTTGGAATTAATAAATAATAATATAATATACATAAAATGTTATTTTTGAGGGAGTGGGGAATGAGAGAATTCCATTAGAACAAAATACAAACTCATTTTGAATTTATTTCATTTGATGAAAAATGAAGTACACCATTGAAGATGTCCTTAAAAAGAGATAAACACACACTTAATAACATTTATTTTACCATCGTGATAAAAAAAAACATTTATTTTACCTTTTTCTGTCTCTTATCTTTCAAGTTTCACCATTTCTATTTTTCTCTAATTTTCACATTTTTCCGTTTTACTTTATTAGTACCAATCAAACCCATAAAGTCTAAGAAGGAAACACTTAATTGCTCATATAATTCTGCTGCTATCCTGATGTGAATTCTTCACTTCAGATGGTAGCTTTGTCTAAGATATCACCAAGACCCTAGTTTAGTGGGTTCTACTGATTAACATTTTCTGTATCTAGAATATCATAGACTGATTTTGCTGGTTTCTAACCCCCACCCCCTCCAACCCTCCAACATATTATTAAATTGATTTGATGTGGTAACATGGTTCAACCGTACTTAAATTTAAACATAGTTGACTGAGTATAGTAATTTGTCATTGTCACACAAATGATTAAGTGTTTTTTTGCTCTCTATATAACAGAAGTTTAGTATCTTTTTTTTTATCAACAGTTAGGATCTAGTAGGCGAAACACATAAATCTCGTACGTAATTTTAGTGTATAGTTTTTATTATATGCATTTCAAATGATTTACATAGTTTAACTTGTTTTGAACATTCAACTTGTCGAGAAAAATGTTTTTTCAAAAAAAAAAAAATTGTCGAGAAAAATGGCATTGAATTGTTCGTCTTTCCTAGTTAATAAAATAAGATATACTACTCTAAGATTTACATGATAAACGAATAAAATAAAATATTTAAAATAAAAATTGATAACTAGTATATTTATATAAGATTATCCAAAAATCAAATTAAGTGTTCCAAAACTTTTGTTTTGTAACTTCAGTTGAAAAACTCAAATTAAAAATTAAAAGTTTAAACCATAGTATTCACACATTTTTGAAATAATATCTCTTCAGGAATAAAAGTTATAAAAATATATTTAAACATTATATTGTTTTAAATTAAATCAATAAAAATATATGCAGAACATTCTTTTTATTGTATGAAATACTATATACTTGAATCATATTACTGCTATATATTATGATAATGAGAAACTAATTTTTTTTTTTTTTGATCAAATGAGAAACTAATTTTTATCATTAGATTAGAAAGAAAGCAGCCATGTGATGTGCACACATTCTCACGCAATCACCATATCTCTTACGTATCTTCATTCTAAAAGTTTTTTTTTTTTTTTTCTTTTTCATTCTAAAAGTTCTTTGTAGTAATTTGCGATAACAGAGTTCATTAGCTGGAAGTTGTATGAACGCCAAGAACCACATGGGAATGGAAAACTGTGGGCGTAGATTGGATCTGTAACACAGAAACTGTCGTTGACTTCGAATGCCTAAGTTACAGAAAAAACTGCCGTTGACTTCTCCGTAGAACGATTCTTGAAAATAATAAAATAAAGGGCAGCACGATTCTTGAAAAACAAAATAAATGATAAGCACTTAATTGTGCTGTGTCCATGTTTACGCCGCAACTTCCGCTTATCATTTCACTCAATAGTTTAAAAAAAACAATCATTTCATTCAATTGTAATTTTCTGGAGAAATTGTTTGAGACCAAACAAATTATATATCAATTTTCTTAAAAAAATACACTCATTCAAAAATATTTAACATTTATATTTAAAATATTGTTTAAGATTTAGTATTTAGGAGATATGATTGAGTTTTTAAATTTCTATAAATAATACTTTTATAAATGATTTATGAAAACTAATTTTTTCTATTTATAATAAAAAATTTTAATTAAATTAATATTATTTACAATTAAAATTTAGAAAGTGATATTAAATTTGAAATAAAGTTAGAATCTCTCATTTTTAATCTACGTAAAAGTTATACATTACAATATCTAACGTAAGTACAAAAAATGAAAAATGAGAAATTAGAATATAAAACAAAAAAAGATAAAAGAAATTCACAAAATTTTAGAATAATGAAACAACTAAAATAGTTTTTTTATATTTTATGTAAATAAAATCAATCAGAACCGTTTGACCATATGCATCGTTGTATTTTCTTCTTTTTGTTAGTTTTCTTTTGTTTTTCATTTCTTTTCATTTCGCTTATATCCTTTTAACCAAATATAATTTAATCTTCTATATAATCTATTAAAGAAGCTAAAATAAGATTAAAATGATATTAATTAAATTAATCTAAAAATTCAATATTATTATTTTGTTAAAGTTATAATTTATGGTGGTTACCTAATTCTTTACAACTGGTGAGTTTATACTACTGAATGTCATTTTTAATATTGCTTTCATCTTATTTAAAACTGAGTGCTTGTGTTATGCTTCAACTTTGTTGACATTGTCTTGATTACAAGTTTCATTCTCTGAATCAGGCTCAGGCTGAGAATCATGTTCGGTCTCAGAATCAGTATTTTCAAGAGTGCTACAGTCAAATTATTGATCTTCATTCACATATAGAGAATCTTGATAAACACCAATAGGAAAATTTTATTAGATAGTTTAAATTTATAAAAATGAAATAAATAGTGGATATTCATTATAATTTTTCACTTTCTATATAAAAATTGTAATCTTCTTCAGATTTTTCTCCTCTTCCAGTCGTTTCATAATATAGTTGACCATCTTGATTAGATGAATCATTATTTCCCATGGGGTCAACTTTTCTTGCTCTCTTATTAATAGCATCAACACCACTTCCTTGTTCAAACGAAATATTGGAGATGTCGTTAAAAACACTTCTGCTTCTCTTTCTAAAATTTCTCAAAGCAGGTTGCCTCATAGCTGTCAATACTGATTTACAACTCTGGTTTTCTACACAAACAGAAAATTTAAGGTGTCAGACACACAAAAATAATACCATGAATAGTATTGTTCTGTTACTCTTATGTTTACCCATCAGGTACAATAAGCAAAGATATATCTTATTTGCCAACTTACATGAAAATGGTTGCGTCTGTGGATGTCTCTTTGACGCATGAGATGATTCACAGTTTTCCTTTCCAATATCTTGTATAATATGGAAAAATATTAGCAAAAGAATATCTAAAATTGGCAGTAACTAGCTAACTTAATTCTACATTTAAAACTTACCAATTCGACGATTTAGGTTAGTCCCTGGTGTTGTAAATATCATAGGGCTGTTGGAGACATCGTTGAAAACTCTATTAAATATAGATTGGACCGGTATAGATTGGTTGTTTGTGGTAGTAGTCTCTTGTGTATCATGACTTGGATCTCTTGGCATGTGATTCTCCATTTGATTTGCTAGTATAGGAAGTCAAATTAAAACTGTCAAGCGAAATAAAACTAAATTATATAATTTAGTTTACATAGGTAAGTATATACTAATGACAAAAAAAGGACAATGTCAACTTACATGACTTGCGATGTGAATACCTACTTCTCGTCATTTAGTTTACATAGGTAAGTATATACTAGTATGCAAATGTATGTTTTTCAAGATAATTTAAAATATCGTCAGTTAGAACTATAACTAAATTACGAAAATACTTACCTGCTGCACGTTTAAGAGAATTGAATGGTGTTATAGGTGTCAAAGCGCTGTTTGAGACATCATTGAAAACTGTATTAGCTTTGGTTGTAGCGGGTAAGGAGAGGTTGGTGTGAATTTGCGATATATTGGTCATAGACTTTGGTAGGCTTTCGCCATGTTTTGGCATAGGTCTTGAATATGGATGGCTTGCTGCAATATCTTTTTTTTTTCTTCATGAGATCAGCCTTGAAGGAGGAAATAATTTTGTAGTTAAAATCGTCGAAATATTATTTATAAGCTCATAAGAGACAATAAGTAAACAAAACAGAAAAGTGATTCACCTTTTCAAACAGAAAGAAATCGTGTTTACGTAGTCCAGTCTTTATGGATAAGGTACAATAATATTTTTCAGTAAGATAGCCGCTAATGATAAATTTTAAGTTAGCATCTCCAATCGTTCGGTAATGCTAGGTTTCACAGAAATTTCCCGTGAGAATTTTAAGGAATATAAATATGTGATATTTTCAAATAAGGAATGATTAGTTAATATATTATCTTGTTTCTTTATTTGTTTCAGTTTGATTCTATATTTCAAAGTTATTTCTTTAAAATTGTAAATTTTAAACTTCGTGCGAAGAGTGCGTCCACTTCATGTCAAATAATTGTAGGTATATTTTTGATAATATATAAGCTCATATTATATGATGTGTTCTTACATTGGAACCATAATGAAACTATGTAACTTTGCAAGAATAATTGCTAGGTTGAATAGGTAGATAGAGAGTATGATTGACTTTTATAATATAGATGCATGAGTATAAGTGCTAAGACCAACTTTATTAATCATCATTTGGAAAAACATCATTAAAACACCATGAAATAACCAAAAGTCCAAATAATAAACTACAAAAAACCAGCTATCAAACTTAAGCAGCTATTAAAACAACATCAAAAGGATTAGAATCAATCATCATTCTTAAACTAAGCATTAGTCGTTGTCTTCTCTAACTTGATCATCTTAGTGCAAAATTTCTTAGACATAGATGTCATGTCAAGTAGATCAGCATCTTCTTCTTTGCGCTTCGAAAATGGTGTTGACAAACCCTCAGATAAAGTTTCTTTGTTTGGATCCACTCCTGAAAGCTGTGCATCATCAACACAGTTAGAGGGATTATTTCAAGCTATTTTTAATTGTAAATTATAAGAAACAAACTAAATTACCTCTTCACCAGAAATAGTTGACAAAACTATCTCAAGATAGGAAGTTTGCTCTGTTTGAATTCTATTTTTTGAATCGTATCTCCAGACCACACGTTAGACACCTTAAAAGTGTTAGATCCGTTGACAACATTGTTATTACTTATAGAGATACCCAAACAAATGGATCTTCCAACTAAACTTTCAATAGGCCCAAGTAAGATATTTGGATCTTCAGTCTACGTGAAAACATGAAAATATTATTGTAGGGTATTACGAATGTTTTAACAACTTCCAAAAAGTTGTTAAAAAAAACTCATCATATGAACCGTTCGAAAGATCAGTTACAGTGTTAGCAATAACAGATTGGGCAACGGGGTCAAGTAACATAACTCTGCACGACTAGCTATCATTTTTTTACAAACAAATGAAGTTTGTACCTGAGCTTGCACATGTATAGTTAGAAAGTTTTGAATAAAAAATGTAATAATATTTATGGACAACCCTACAATACTTACTTCGGTGATACATTATTTGTGACTGCACGACATATGTCACAGTAAAAAAGGGGTTTTAGACTTCATTACTCTTTCCAGTACAAACACTCTTCAGTTTGGACCCCTGATTGGTAACTCGTCGGTTATGTCTATTGTTGGGGAAAACAGGACACGGCGCAGCGGAATATGTGTTCAAGTTCCCCTGACCTTGTGTGAATCTATGAGGAAAATACTTTGAAAATAGCAGGATATAATATAAGCAGAAACTAAATGAGACAAGCACTTTTTACGTGGAAAACCTCCTCGATGTGAGAAGAAAAAACCACGGGACCGTAGTCCACTCAACAATCCACTATATAAATATATGTGAGTAGAACCACGTTCTCCCTGTTCAACAACCTGAACAGAACAGAGACTCAGCTACAAATAGCTATCTCCAACACAAGAACAACAACAAGAGAGAGTAACACAAAGATTCAAAACTGGCAGTAACCAAACAACCTCAGCTCACAAGGATTACGGAAACCAGAGAATAATCCCACCGTACAAATCCAAGATAAACAAGTCAACAGCACCTCTGCCAAATTTCAGCTCAAACAGAGAAGATCTCACCGTCAGATTTACCAAACACTCAAGACAGCACTGCTGAAGAACTGTGACGACCAGCTTCACGAAAACCCAAACAACAGAAGCTCCAACCGTTGAAATCCAAATCCATTCGATGAACCTTTAACCCACGGAATGAAGAATCTTCCCACAAAATATCAGCTCAAAAGGAATCCGTTTGACCTTCCAAAATCTGCCTTTAAAAATCAAGACGAAGTTCTGCCTCCTTCTCTCTTTTGTCTAAATTTCATTTCTTGAGTCTATGCTTGCATACTACAAATATTAGGTCAAGAGACTTATATAGTGTCTCACTAACCCACCAAGACCCAATACCATCTCATGGATAAATATCATTGGCCCAAACTCCAAGTTTGGTTATCACAAACCAAACTCAATGGGTTTCCTCCATCTAGAAAGAACCCAACAAACTCCCCCTCTGACTAGGTGGAGAAAGCAGCCATTCTGGCTATCCCTCGGCATACTTCAAGCTTCCCCCTCGGTAAAGGCTTTTTCATCATATCAGCTCCATTATCATCTGTATGAACTTTCTCAAGTTCCACTTCCTTAGAAGCAACAACATCTCGTATCCAATGATACCTTCTCTGAATGTGTTTCGACTTCGAATGACATGTAATGTTCTTACCGAGACAAATTGTGATTTGACTATCACAAATTAGCGCATACTTTTCTTGCTTGAAACCGTTCTCTTTACAGAAGTTCTTCATCCACAACAACTTCTTACAATGAACTCTGCTTCAGTGGTAGATAGTGCAACACACTTTTGCAGTCTTGACTGCCATGCCACAGCTCCACCCACAAGTGTTACCAAGTAACCCGAAGTAGACTTGCTAGAATCAACATCTCCAGACATGTCAGAATCAGTGTAACTGACAAGCGAAAGCTTCGTACCTCCGAAAGTAATCTTCAGATCAGAAGTCCCTCTGAGATATTGATGTTCAGAATTTTCAAGGGTCCTTAACCAAATGATGTAGTATAAGAGATGTCGAACCAGTTCTAAGTGATCCGAAAGCAAAGGGAATGCAAGACCATGCTCAATCTAAGTGCAACTAATAGGTGAGATGATATTGAACTAGAATATTACTAAAATGCAATAAAGGGATGATATTTCTTTCTCAAGATGAAGCAAGAGGACTCATGGGACTAGAAATTTGATCTTGGGTGATGTAGATCCAATCTAAAGATGGAAAGCTAGCAATCATACACTTTCCTTATGCCTAGACACAATCCTAAACAAACTCTATCTCTAGAAGAATGTTCTTTTACTAAAGCAACTCAAGCATATAATCTCTTAGGTCGAATGTTACTAAAGCAAACATGGAGAACAAGTCTAATGGCAATCTTAACTTCTTTAGCAACTAATCTCTTAGGTAAAGCAAGTTAAAAGCATTGAAGAGTTGGTTTAGACATTTCATCATACACCTTATGGGCAGGTAATGCCTAGAGATCCATTTTAGTATGATCAAGACTAATATGGTATTGAGAACCCTCAACAAGCAAGTAAACAAGTAAATCTAACACTAAACATCCTAGATCTTCTCTAATCACCCTTAATGACTCTAGCCCATGAATCCAAAAGGAGTCTACTCACTAATCTTCATGATTAACCTTAAGCCCATGGTTGATTTAAGAGAAATCATGTTGAGAAGCAAGTTTAATCAAACAATCACAAAGAAATAAGAAGAAAAGAAACTAAAGATTCAATCTTTCTTCAAGGTTTCAATGTGTTCTTATATAGAAAAGAAAATAGATCTAAAAACTAGGTCTAAACAATATTTATAGGCTAGTTAAGTCGAACCGGATCAACCCAACAAATCCGGGTCAACCAGAAATGTTTTGGGCGGATAAGCCGGCTGGCCGCTGGAAACTGGGTGGGCGAGTCTGGCCGCTGGGCCTTGCCGCCAGGGCCATGCAAGGTTGGGCGATGGGAACTGTGGTCGATGGGCGGGCAGAGCTGGCCGCTGGGCCTGGACGCCAGGGCCACACAAGGTTGGGCGATGGGAACTATGGTCGATGGGTGGGCAGAGCTGGCCGCTGGGCCTGGACGATGGGAAGATGGCGGTCGAGCTTGGACACTGGGCATGGATGCCAGGGCCACGCAAGGTTGGGCGATGGGAACTGTGGTCGATGGGCGGGCAGAGCTGGCCGCTGGGCTTGCTCGAGTAGTGATATATGTCCAGTAAATTAACCATAACTCCTAGCATACAACTCTGATTGACCTGAGACCACTTCCATTGGAAAGCTTACTCAATTACCTCTGTCTTCCCAGAATTTTAGCAACATAAAACATCTTTAAGGCCTCCATCCATGTTCATATTTCACCCCTTTTTGGATCACAATGCTCCCAAACACCTCCAATCACTCCATGGCACACTCCAACACCTAATAAGAACATATGAATGCAATATGGACCTAAATATATCTAAAATCTAATCTATATGATAATTTATGTA